CTGGAACTGTGAGTTACCATGAATGGTCTTGGTCGACATGATGAACTCAGACAGTCTCTCACCCTGTTCGTTCCATTCTAGGCCATGGGTCCCGATGTGAAGTTCTTCAGCTGATCTTCTTGGTCCTATCTTGGCATTAAAATCACCCACAATGATCTTGTAGAAGGTGTGGTCTTCTTTATAGAACTTCTCTAGCTCCATGTAGAACTTCTCGATTTCTCTTTCATCATAATGAGATGTTGGTGCGTAGACAACGAAGATAGAAACTGCAGGCAGTGAGCCACATCTATTCAAATGTAAACGTCCGATTCGGTTTTTAGGCATTCGAATGAATCAATGCTCTTGGCCAAGTTTGTGTTGACAAGGACACCGACGCCTCCAACGCCTCTTTTATCGCATGTTCCGAGGAACAATTCTTCTCCAGTGTCGAAAACAGCATGGTGAGATTCCTTGTCTCGGTCTGACCAATGATGTCGTACTTGATCATTCGCGCTTGTACCATCAGGTCCTCGATGGATGCATCTGATGCTAGCGTACGTGCATTGAAAGTACAGACGATCATTTTTGTCTTCCTTCGTTGTGGCAGCCTAGGTCGGCCTTGAGATTTTGTCGGCCTCTCCTTTCTCATCCTTCTCAGTGCTGCCACGTCGGTGAAGCCTTCAGGGTCAGGTGAATGAGACCAGTTGTAGTTACTGGTTTTGGCATATCGAATACACAGCGGATAGCTTGCCAGGCTCTTCCGTGCGGGCGGAATACTCTCGGTAGCTTGCCAGTCTTTCCGAGAGGGATAGAGGCTTTTGGGGTGACCTCTAATCACCCTTGTAGGTGTTACCATATTTGAACCCTATCAAATATGGTACGACAATTCCAGAAGATGGGTATTTAGTGTCTTATGATGTGTTGCGCGGCCGCAAGTGGCCGCGTGGGTCCGGAAAGCATCCTGGAGTGTGGCGACGTCTGGATAGTGGAAGTAGTGTCAAGAGTTCAAGGTAAGGGAGGGTATTTAGCAATTGGAGTATAGCACTTACACCAAACTCCTTTTGCTCCTTTTACCTTTTAGTCTTATAGCCTCTACTCAGATCCAATATTGCCTACATCAGATCCCCTACCCTTCCTATTTCCTAGAGCAAGGCTGTTACATGCATTTGTAATACAGTTAAGATCTTTCCTCATAGTCAAGATTCTATTCTTGAGTCCCATCACCTATCAACAATTGCTGTGTGCATACATCAAGATTCATTACTGGGGCTGGAGAGATAGCACAGCGGGTAGGGTGTTTGCCTTGCATGCGGCCGACCCAGGTTCGATTCCCAGCATTCCATATGGTCCCCTGAGCACCGCCAGGAGTAGCTCCTGAGTGCAGAGCCAGGAGTAACCCCTGTGCATAGCCAGGTGTGATCCAAAAAGCAAAAAAAAAAAAAAAGATTCATTACTTGTGTGGGAAAGTTTGTATATAATTAATTATAATTAATTTCTGAGATCTCCAAGCCTGCTCGGTTTGGGACTGGGCCTCCTCCACTCAGCTCCCCCACCTTCCAGTAGCTAGCATGTAAAGTGTCATGACATTATAACATCATAAAAAGTAGTTTCACCACAAGGTTTCCTTGCACTTACCCCTGAACTACTAGTAATCACAGACCTGTGATTTGCCATTTGTAATTCTGTCTTTTTTGTAATATCATATAATGAAATTATACAATATTTAGGTTTTCCAACCTTTTTATTTCATTCAGTTATAATTAATTTCTGAGATCTCCAAACCTGCTTGGTTCGGGACTAGGCCTCCTCCACTCAGCTCCCCCACCTTCCAGTAGCTAGACAGTTACACTCACCAACTGCCGTGTGATCCCATGAACGGCCAGGATCCAGAGACTCTAAAACCAAGTTCCAGGAAGAGAACAAGGCAGAGTCTCCTGCCCCCGCTCCTGGCTGTCCTCACTGGGGCCCCTTGGAGGAGGGTGGGTTGAGTTTCTCTCTCCACCCGAGCAGAGCCCTGACAGCTGAAGACCTCTGGGACCCAGCCAAAGCCATGCTGAGACCACTCTCCACACGCTTGGTAGAGGAACCGGCAGAAGAACCCAGGTGTGCGGGACCCAGGGCTGAGATCTTCAAGCCTACTCGGTTCGGGACTGGGCCTCTTCCACTCAGCCCCCCCACCTTCCAGTAGCTAGACAGTTACACCATGCAACTGCTATGAAACCCCATCAATGGCCAGGATCCAGAGACTCTAAAACCAAGCTCCTGGAAGCTCATGGCTGCATTCTCTAGGTCTCACTCTCAGAGAACCCGGCAGGCTACTGAGAGTATCATACCCGTCTATATGCCTGACTAGGAACACCTATAAAGGTGATTAAAGGCTGACCCAAAAGCTCTCATCCCCCTCAGAGAGCCCAGCAAGCTACCAAGAGTATCTTACCCGCACAGCAGAGCCTGACAAGCTAACCGTGGCATACTCGATATGTCAAATACAATAACAATAAATGGTCCTCATTCCCATGATCCTGAAGGAGCCCCCAATATATCATCAGGCTACATTAGCACGTGACAGGGATGAATGGAGATGTTACTGAGCCTGCTCGAGCGAATCGATGAACAACGAGGTGATAGTGATAGTGATAATTAATTTCAAACACTGAATATAATTCTACTGTATGGGTATACCATAGTCCTTTTATCCTAGTTACCTATTAAAGGACATCTTTGTTGCCTCCTATTTGGGATGGTTATTAATAAAACATTTGCATTCAAGATTTTGGGGGGAGAGGAGCTAAAATTTACTTATTTTGGAAAATACCTAGAAGGATAATTGCTGCATTTTATGGTAATATTATATTTAATTGATAAGGTAAAGGTAAAGGTAAAGGCCCTCCCGTTGATCGTCGATTTGCTCGAGCGGGCCCAGTAACGTCTCCATTGGAGACTTTGTTGTTACTGTGTCTGGCATATCCAATACTCTCGGTAGCTTGCCGGGCTCTCCGAGAGGGGCGGAGGAATCGAACTCGGGTCGGCCATGTTGGCCGCTTGTAAGGCGAACGCCCTACCCGCTGTGCTATTGCTCCAGCCCAGGATTTGCAAAATTGTCTTACTAAGTGTCTCCATCATTCTGCATTCCTACTATGTAAAACCATTCCTGTTGCTTCATGCTTTCGAAGCATTTGGTTTTGATAGTGTTTTAAAATTCCATCATATTATGTGTAGAGTGCTAGATTTTGTTCTTTTAATTAAAAATCCCCTAACAACATAATAGTGAACACATTTTTAGGTGGAAAGTTATGATCTATATATTTGCTTAGACTAGGTGTCAACTCATATATTTTACTTATATTTTAATTAGGTTATTTGCTTTCATGGTGTTGAATTTGAGTTGTTTGCATAATTTAGACACAAATTCTTGGGTGTTTTGTACATGAACTCTTTATCAAATCCATTTTCAGATATTTTCTTCCAGTTTTCAGTGTATCTTTTCATTCTTTTCAGATTAATTTTTATATAGTAGATAACTTTAATAAAAATAAATTCCAAGTAAGTTTTTTCAAGCATAGTATGTTCTGTATGTAAAAAATAAAACTGTATGGTGTGAAATTTTAATTTTCTCAGTGTTTTTTAAAGATTTGTTAATAAAATACAATAATTGAGAAACAGCAATCTTAAATTTGCAGTTTAATATGCTTCAGAGTGAACATATCTACCTAGCCACAAATAAAAATTATAATATCAAATAACAACTACTTGGTGTCAAACTTGGCCTGTCATTTTGTTACTCACAATTTAAGAATTTCCTTTGCTGCATCACTAAATGGTTGGGGGTAATAAAAATATCGAATCCTATTTCACGAAGTTGTTATAAAATTAAATAAAATTCCAGATTCTGGCTATTGTAAACACCGTTGCAATGAACATACAAGTGCAGATGTCATTTCTACTAGACTTTTTTGCATCTCCAGGATATATTCCCAGAAGTGGTATTGCTGGGTCAAATGTAAACTCAATTTCTAACTCTTTGAGAAGCGTCAATACTGTTTTCCAAAAGGGCTGAACCAGTCGGCATTCCCACCAGCATTGAAGGAGAGTCCCTCTCTCCCCACATCCTCGCCAACACCAGTTGTTTTTGTTCTTTTGGATGTATGCCAGTCTCTGTGGTGTGAGATGTTGTTCTGATCTTCATCTCCCTGATGATTAGTGATGAAGAATATTTTTTCACGTGCCTTTCGGCCATTCGAATTTCTTCTTTGAGAAAGTTTCTGTTCATTTCATTACCCCATTTTCTGATGGGTTTGGATGTTTTCTTCTTGTAGAGTTCAACCAATGCCTTGTATTTCCTTGATATCCATCCCTCCATCCCTTATCAGGTGGGTATTGGGTGAATATATTTTCCCATTCTGTAGATTGTATTTGTATTTTGGTCACCGTATCTTTTGAGGTGCAGAAGCTTCTTAGTTTAAGATAGTCCCATTTGTTTATCTCTATTTCCACTTGCAAACCACAACACTTAAAAAGAGAGAGAGAGCAAAAGGGAATGCCCTACCATAGAGGTGGGGTGGGGTGGGTTGGGTGGGGTGGGTTGGATGGGAGGAATACTGGGATCATTGGTGGTGAAGAATGGTCACTGGTGGAGGGATAAGTAATCTATTATTGTATGACTGAAATGTAAGCACGAAAGTTTATAAGTCTGTAACTGTACCCCATGGTGATTCCTTTAAAAATAAAAAATTAAATATTAAAAAATATAAATAAAATTAAAAGTGTTATGAAATATTCACACTCAATTTAAGATAAGTTTTCTCTGGCTTTATGGTCACAAAATCAGAGCTTATTTGGAACAATAGTGATCATACGGTCCACAAGTCCATAAGTAGGGCAGCAGTCAACTAGTAGATGTGGTGCCTGGATCTAGCACACAAAGAATATGTGGGCCACCTTGGAAGATTAAGCTATCTCCATGACCCTAAATCCAGGAAAATTTAATTTGTTATAATTTTGAATTGAAGAGTCATTAAATAATACTTAACTGGCAGGGGAGATACCAAGATCAAGAAGATGGTTTTCCCAGGGAGAGTCTTACCCATTTCACTTTGGATGTGCTGACCCCTGCAATTTCCCAAAATGTGGGAAAGTTGACTGTGTAATTTGTGGTAGTGGGGTACTGCATTCATGCTCTCCCCAGCCCCCCCAAAAGAGTCTTTAAATATTATGATATAGTTATTTCCCCATTTTTAGTATGAGATTACATTTTAGTAGAAGGCAAAGATTTCTTTTGGTGTATCTGGAAGAATTTTACTATAATTTTTAAAATATATATCTTAAAGTTAGAACATATTTTTGGGACCAGAGAAATAACTCAACAACACTTCTGACAGAAGGTCCAGGTTTGACCATTGCACCATATGGTTCCCTGAGCAACCACCTGGAGCAATGCCACCAAAGAAAGCTAGGAGTAACCCCTAAATACTGCCAGGTGTAGTCCCCCACCCCCACCTCTACCCAAAAAGGAAATTCCAAAAGCATTTACTTTGGAATTAAGCCTTCTTTTACCATTTTATGCTTGTGTCAGTGTTATTACTGCTGTATGAAATTAATAAGATTTCTTTCCCTCTAGATGCATGTAAGATTTTCATTTTGATTTTGATTTCATCAGTTCTACTATGAGAGTTCAAGTGTAGGTCTCTTTGAATTCAGTATTTATTGGGGTCTTCCACTAAGTTCTGTAAAATTCTTTTTTTTTTTTTTGGCTTACAAATTTTGTGCTTGGGTTTCAGTTATACAATGATCAAGTCCCCATCCCTCCACCAGTGCCCGTCATCCATCCCCATGGGTCCCAGCATCCTCCCCCCCTCATCCCCCCCCCCGCCCCATCCTGCCTCTGTGGCAGGGTATTCCCCCCTGTTCTCTCTCTCTTCTTTTGGGTACTGTGTTTTGCAAGAGAGGCTTTGAGTGGCAATCTTGTTTGGTCTATCGACTACCTTCAGCATGCTTCTCCCACCCTGGGAGGGCCCTCACAACACCCTTCATTTGGTACTCTCTTCTCTATCTGAGCTTCCTTTTCACCTAGAGTCTGTGGCTGGCCTTCCATTCATGGAGCAAAATTCCTGTTACTAATCTCAGCCATTCCTGTGTGTCACTCTCCCTTTTTGTTGCTTTATGTTCCCCAGATGAATGCAATCTTTCTGTGTCTATCCCGCTCTTTCTGACTCATTTCGCTTAACATGATACTTTCCATGTAACTTGTATGTAAATTTCATAACTTCATCTTTTCTAACAGCTAATTCTTAGCCTTCACTGTTTGAATACTCATTATTCTCTTTCTCTTTCTCCTTCCTGGAACTTCAATTTCATACATTGGATTGGGGGGCACTGTATCACTGGAGCACTGTCCTCCCGTTGTCCATCGATTTGCTCGAGTGGACCCAGTAACGTCTCCATTGTGAGACTTCTTGTTACTGTGTTTGGCCTATGATATATGTCAAGGGTAGCTTGCCAGGCTTTGCCATGTGGGCGAGATACTCTCAGTAGCTTGCCAGGCTCTCTGAAAGGGGCAGAGGAATCGAATTTGGGTCGGCCGTGTGGCCTGCATGCAAGGCAAATGCCCTACCAGCTGTGCTATCGCTCCAGCATGAGAGGGGACGGATTTGAATGCATGCCCCATTTATTTCCTCTCTTTTTCTCTGTTAATAATTCATTCAGTCAACACATTTTTATTTTCAATTTCATTTTATTATTTTAAATACTAGTCCACTTTACTGACTTCTTTTGCAAACAAACTTCTAGAGAACTCATCTATTGAAATTATTTAAAGCAGCGGTCTTCAGCTGCTGGTTTGTGGATCAGTATTGGTCCGTGGATGTAGAAAGGTTAAAGAAAACTACCTTAAATTACTTTAACTTTAGTTCTAGAATTTCACTTTAAATCCTTTTGGATATTTACATTCTATCAAAAATAATTATTTCCTTAAATAAGATAACAACTGCCTCTTAAAAGTAGTTATCTGGTAACTTCAAAGGCAGGAGTCATATTATATACCTGGAGTTTTATTCCATTATGGTTATTTCTTTTCTCTTTATTTTTAGTCACATAGGCAATTTTTTTCTATCACATTTAGTTTGTTTTATTGCACATTTAAAAACTATAGATGCTTTTGATGATTGGATGATTGATATTCTTCTAGGTAGAATTTAATTTTCTTCTGGCAGACCACCTTGGGAAGACTGCCTTAATTTAATCAATATTAAGATAATTTAAGGTTATATTCCAGGTTTTACAAGAACTGACCTACTTCCTTTATATTATTCCTGGGAGAAGATATTCACGAATCTCAACTAAATATTAATATGTTTCAAAGATACCTCCTTCATGGCGTTAAATTCATGGTGGGGAGGAAGGGCAGGGAGAAGACACAATCTCTATGAGTGCCTATTTGGCAAGCATAAGGTCAGAAGTTTGATCCCCCATACACTGCCCAATACACTAAGTGTTGTCCTGCAGCTCCACTCTCTGGGACTCCTGGCCCCATCAGAGAGTGTGTATTCACTGGTGGGCAACTTCAACAAAACTATAGGAACACTGTGGCCAGAATGTGTGGCACACCAGAAAACATAGTGTGAGCAACATAGTAACCACAGTGAATACCTTAGCCTGAGTACAAACACCATAACTAAACTTCAATGAGAACATGTGAAAGCACTGCACCGGTAAGTCCAGCAAGTGAGCAAGAACATGTGATTACTAGTCACTGAAACCACAACAACAAAAGAGAAGGGAAATTCATGGGGTTTTGTGTGTGTGTGTGTGTGTGTGTGTGTGTGTACAAGAGACTAAACACTTTTCCTGAAATTATTGAAATCTCTGCTTAGTTTTTTTTTTGTAGTTTCAAATATATCTCTCTTCAGCCTCTTACAAGTTGACAAATGCCTCGAGAGAAAACATCATGTAGAACGTTGAACCCACTGTTCTGTGATTCTCTTTCCTTCCAGAATTTTGGACACTTGCAGCCACTCAGTGCCAAAACTCATTCAAGATATGAGTACAAATAATGTGTGATCCAATACTAATTACTATCAGTCTCATATATCAGAGTAGAAAAAAAGAAAGGCCAGCTAGCTTGTTCTGTGGAGAGAATTTAGAATGAGATCCATTTAACATAACTTTGGAATACACAGATTAGTTATGACAGATGCTTCTACTACTTGGGGAGGAGAGCAGTGTGAGGAAGTGGTCCAAGAGGCCAGGTATACAGCCTCTTGTAGATGCCAGAATCAGCAGAAAGAAAAGATCACATGGCAAGTACACCGGCGCCAAGAAGAATGAGAGAAATGTGATTGTCCCCTCACCCCATCTGTCACTCAGTTGTCAATGTGTACTTTTAGATAAATCTAACTGATAACTGAGAAAGGAGCCTGTGTCATGAAGGATTAATCGTCATGCTGAGCAGAGAGAGGAAGGACTTTGATACACCAACATGCAAAAGGCAAATAACTACAAAAGGCCCATTACAATCAGATGCCATGAAGCAGAATCGAAAAGATGCCCATGCTCTAATACTTTCAGAGGATGACATTTTAAAAATAATTTTGCAGGTTTTTCTAAACAAATTCTAAACAAATATCTAATAATTCTCAGATAATGAATCTCTTCCAATTTAGCAGCTAATTTAATTGATAATGCCCCAGACATCATAAAATAGGAGGGAATTAATTAGGTTAAATAGAACAGAAAACATATAGGAACTTGGACAGAAAGAAATTGTCCAAAAATTTTTAAAACTCAGCCATCTAGGTGAGTTATTTAAAGATAGTTTCATTTCACTGAAAAGAAAGTAGACGAGGGTAACTTCATTTAAGAATAGCAAGTCAAGACCTTTTAAAGAACAGAGAAAAACAGAACAGATTAAATGCTCTTGGAAAAAAAATCTACAGTGGTAAGTGAGATGCAAATTTTAAATATTCCCCAGCTAGTCAATAAATCCTTACACACGGGTAAATTATTCATCACAATTGGAACAAGCCCTTGAACTTTGATTTTCATTAGTCTGGGTACATGCTGTTTAAAGGATATTTAATTTTAGACCATCACCTGTGTTGTGAAACATCTGACAAGAGTAAACAAATTACCTCTTCACAAACTCTTCTCTGATTTCTTCACTTTTCTCAGATACTGGATGTGAAGATAACAATGATTCCCCTCTTTCTTTGTCCCCCTCCCCCAGACCTGCCTCACTGGGTCTTTATCAAGTGTTTTTGGCTTGGATGAATGTCTCTAGTTAACAGAACAGTTTTTTTTTTTAAAGAGAGAAGAGTTTAATTTATAAGAAGGCAATTTGAGTTGTTTTGATTAGCGATTCTGTGACAAAAGGCCTAAGTTTGGATCTCAGTAGAGCCCGCTGTGTTTCTTTTTATTAGTCGCTGAGGTGGTTAGGAAATAAATTCCTGGAAGCTAATGACCTGGTAGGTGGAAGAAAAGTGGGTATGGAAGAGCAGAATAGTGTTTTTTTTTTTTTTTTATCCAAACTGACATGGTTCATTTCAGGAGGTTAGCTTTACAACTAATGAAAGATTTATCAATTAAGATCCCTCTGGTCCCAAGAAAAGGACAAATTTAGTCATATTCATACAGACAACGTAGAAAGTTTCAGGTCTGGAGAGCTCAAGGCTGGGCCATTGTCAAGCACAGCTTGATTAGAATAGTGGACAAATCTACCTCAGAGTCTTCACGCTCAAACTAGCTGGTAGCACTCCAAACAATGTGAAGCTGCATTGGAGTTTATGCAGTATTAAGCTCTCAGTAAGATCGGGCAGAAGCAAAAATGTCTTTCCAATGACATCCTGCACAATCTTGACTTTCACTGAGTTTGGGCGGTATATCCTAAAACTATCACATAGCTCAGTAACTAGCTTTTACTTTGGTTATATCCTCCAGAGAGATCCATGCTAACAAGGATGGTGAGGGGAGGAGGGAAATGGGTGTTACCAGTCAAAGGGCGAATAAAGTGTTTAACAAAAGAAGTGAAGGTGTTACATGGACACACGACAAAAATTAATTTCCTCCATATAGGGCATCAGGTCTACTGAGCCATGGCTTAATTTCTTCCTGAGATGCGCTTTTGTTTGTCTGTTTTCCCAGTTCTCTTTTCTTGCTACATCTGAATATATTATATAGCTTTGAAAAAATGTG